AGACTGGCCACATTTCTAGTGCTGAACAGCTCACCATGATACTGCCAACAGGCTTATCCTACATGACAGTGTCCTGTGACAGCAACTTTCTCTGACCTTACAATAGTGAGTTCATACGTAAATTATAAATTATTCAAATTTCACTCATCATTAAATACTACGCAGATTTCTTTTAAACAAAAATTAAGTATCAAAGAAAACCTAACTTTAAAAAAAGAAAAGACTTAGGGGCCAGGGGTTTGGCTCAGCATAGTAAGTGCCTGCTTGGCAAATATGAGGTTATGTGCTCAATCCCCGGCACCAAAAAAAAAAAAAAAAAAAAAAAAAGCAAAGAAAAGACTCAGCCAGGAACCACCTAACACTTAGCAAAGTCACATTCTCAGACACAGCTGCAGGACCTTCTGCTCCATGGCAAGCAGCAACAACCAGGCAGCTCAGTTTCACGTATTTTTCTAAGCAAATATGCACCCATCAATCAATCAGTACTTGAGTCAATTACAGATCCAAGTACAACTCATCTGTTTTTGGAAACTATCAGAGACACAAAAATGAACAAATTTCTGAAATCATATCACACAGAAACAGAGGAATGTTTAAAAGTGTATCACTGTGTTCTACTATCATGTAAAAACTGTAGCAGAATATAAATTCTCACATGACAGTTTTTCTAATGCTGAGACAGTACCACTGCTCATCCAGTCTAAAAGTGTTTCCACTATATGTCAACATCCCATCATTGCAGAGCTCCGTACTCAAAAGCACCCTCTTTAGCCATGCATGGTGACACACTCCTGTAATCCCAGCACTCAAAAGGCTGAGGAAGGAGGATCATCACGAGTTGGAGACCAGCCTGGCATACAAAGTGAGCCCAAGACCAGCCTGAAATATAGCAAGACCCTGTCCTGAAAAAAAAAAAAAAAAAAAAAGAGTAGCCTCTTCTTGGATTGTGTTCAGTCTGAGGCCAGCCTGAACTACATAATGAATTCAAGGCTAGTCTGAACTACATAGCAAGACTCATAGCAACTGTCCTACCTCAACCTCTAGAGTGCTGGGATTACAGGTGTGCTTCACCACACCCAGCCACAAAACCTACCTATGAATGCAATGTCTCAAAATTTGGGACTATAACTTATATCTTTGTTTTACTTGCCCTATATATATCTTCTTTGTATCCCCTTGTATAATTTTTAAAATCTCAATTTAGAAGAGAAATTTCTCAAAGACCAGGACCACAGATCTTCTATTTCTTAGGCATCGATTTGTAAAAGATAGCTCTAAGCAAAATGGCAAAGACAAAAGGTTCACAGAATGCAAAGATAAGTTCATAAATCAGCTGTGTCACTTACTAAACATATTGTGTTCTGGACACTTTATCATAAAATGGAAATTTAAAATAATCATTTTGAATGTAGTTGCAAGAATTTAGTAAGGTGGTATAGGTAAAGCACATGGCAAAGTAATGTAAAGAATGCTACTGTAGACAAGAATAAAACTGTTACTTCAGAAAAATCAAACATCTTACTAGGGAAGTTTTTCAACAATTATATGAAAATCTCTTTCCATTCTTTATTGGCAAATTTTTCAAATTTTTATCAGTATATGTTTATATTACATAATGATTACATTCACTGTGGGGGGCTGGTACATGTATATGATGTATCTTAATTCTTTTTACATTCCCTTCCCCAGCCCTCCATCTCTTAATTAGCAAATTTTAGACAGCCTTGGTATCTGTCTCCACTCCCCAGATATGTTAGCACTATATACACTGGAATGCAATATGCTCTTTTTTTCTTCTTTTCAGCAACTACCATCAAACAGTACTCTCATATAATCACGACACTTAATTTACTGTAAAGGAAAGGTCTACTTATTGGCTGATTAGGGCATGGCAAAACTGGCTGAGTAAGTAGGTGTGACCTGTTAACTACAAACTCCCAGGACTCATGCAAATGTCGCTGTGTGGGACCTGGGCCGGTGGGAAGTGGCATGGAGTCACGGCGGGAACAAATCACACCGGAGACCAGGTTGATGGCACCGATCCAACTTTCAATATGTCTCTAGCCCTCTTATATAGGCAGGGCTGAGACCCAGATGGGGGAGAGCCTCGATGGGGTCTCCAAGGGTTGAGGGAGGCTCCTGGGGGCGGGGCCAAAGCGGGGCGGTATCTGGCAGGGCGACTCACTCAGTCTGCCGAGGACATCCCAGGGTCGGAGTCTGCTCAGACCCTCTCCTCTGCCAGAGCCATCAACCAGACCTCCAGACCTTTACTCTCCACATGCAAAGCTCTGTACTTGGACTTCTCCCTAGAACTTGTGCCCACTTTTAATGGGCCCAAACTTGCTCTGCAGAGCCTGTTCCTTCCCCTGTGTCTAATAAAACTTTGCTACTCTTTGCACTTATCTTAACCAATTCTTTGCTCAGGTTGGACAGAACCTAGAAACCACCTCCAGGAGACTCCAGTATCCCAGAACCCAGTAAGAATTTCATATGGTTCAGCCTGCTCAATAAGCATTTCAGTGATCCTGAATACAGATGCTGCATATAAGCAACAGAAAGAGCTTTGAAATAAAATGCAACGTAAAAGTTCACTTTAATTTTAATGCTTTTCCTTTGGATGTTTGTTTACCCATAACATACACACCCCAATACTCCAACTCTGGACATCCACTGAATGTCCTACAGTTCAGTTTAATTCTAACACTATCTCCTAGGTCTATCACAGATCCTACAAGTCACAGGCTCAGTGCAAGACCACCCCAGTTTAGATACCAGCCACAACTTTCAGGTTACCACCTATACTTCTAACCAACTAGCCATAAACTGCCAGTTTCCATGAAGCCTTCCTCAGGTTTGATAATTTTTTAGAACTCACAGAACTCAGGAAAAGTTAACTTACTATAAGCAATTTATTATAAAGGACACAAGTCAGGATCAGCCAAATGAAAGAGATACAAAGGCAAAAAGCAGCTCCAGAGCTATCATTCATTCTAGCCCACAACCTCCCCCCTTGGTATTTTATTACGCAGGTATGAATAATTAAATTACTGGCCACTGATGACTAACTCAATCACTAATCCTTCTCTGTCCTTCTCTTAGTGGGCAGGTTTAAAGTTCCAACCTCTTCATAAGCTTGGATTTTCTAATGACCAGTACCCACGCAGAAGCTGTCTAGAACCCCCAAGGCACCAACTCATTTGATCATCATATACACAGAGATTCTAAGAGTTTCAGAAGCTCTGTGACAGGAAGTAGGGAGGAAGACCAACACAGTATATAGTTCTTATCATAACTTTGTACAAAGCTCTTCCTAAAACTAAGAGAGTTAATAGCATAAGTCTTAAAGGGCATTTCCAAGAAAAAAATCTGCATAATCCTTTGGAATTATTTTTCTATACCACAAAATAAATTTATGAGGAAGAAACGATTGACAATTAAGAATCATTATAATGATACATAAATCCAAGCACACAATTAAAAAGCTTCAGTAGAGGATGACTAACATTTTAGTACATGCTGCTAAGGTGAGCACTGATTAACATTTTCAGAGGCAAGAAGGTTTAAAACTGGGGACCTTATGAGGATGATGTCTAAGGTAAAGACACAAATAATGAAAACAAAATTATTTGCCAAAGAAACTTTGGAAATAATTCTCAACAGACTCTACCTAATTCTTAAATCTGGTTCACAACAGAAACATTTTTCAAAAGTTTAAAAATAAGCTTTATCTTTAACAGACTAGGACCAGAATGATAGCATGAGAAAGTTCGTTATATGATCTCATTAATATGCATCCAGAACAGCAAGCTGTTACTCTAAATTTTTTTCATACTCCTATATTTTACAAGTCAAGGCTACATTTAAAAGATGCCTCAAAAATTTTAAATAGAAATTTCACTTGATCCAGTTACGCCTCTTTCAGGAATCTGCCCCAAAGAGTTAAAGACATCATATTACAGTGATACATGCATATTCATGTTTATAGAAGCACATTAATAACAGATAAATGCGGCAGCAGCCTATGTGCCCATCAATTGATGAATGGATAAAGACAATCTGTATGGCTAAACACACACAAACATACATGTATATATGTATTAGTCATAAAGAAAAATAAATTTCAATCATTTGTAGGAAAATGGATGCATCTTGAGACCATAATGCTAAGTTAAATAAATTAGACACAGAAGGTTAAATATCATATGGCTTCTCATACAAGAAACCCAAAATGTAAGTAAAAAGCAAAATAAAAAAGATGGTAAGAAACAAAAAGGAAGACTTTGTAGAGATGGAAAGGGGACCTGGGGATAAGGAAGAAGTAGGAGAGTGGAAGGGGAAATTAAAATGATTATGATATTTAAGATGTATCTTTGAAAAAGAATCAAGAAAAAAAATTTAATCAAATTAAAAAGATATATTAGTGTATAAAATCATTATATATTAATGTCACAAGATCATTATATGACAAATACTAATTTTTAAAAATTTTTAAATGATTAGGATACATATATGTATCATTACCATGGTGAACATAATTATGTATTGCAACATATACTAGTAAATTTGTTTTAAAAGACTACATTTCAAGGGGAAGAATATGTTTCCCTAGACCAGATAAAGCTCCAGAGGCTCCAGTCCACTATGGCAGAAGACAGATCCTAAAAGAACAGACTGATTCAAATGGCCACCACACAAACAACAGGACACAGTTCCAGGGTCCTACTGTGAGAATGCACTGCCCATTTTACCGTGAAGACAACATGTATGTAAGGAACACAGCCTACTTCCTAGTACATCACTATAGATAGTGTCTCATTAGGACCACCATGGAAATTTTCAATTATTATTGAATGCTCTACATTAAAAACAAAAGTCTTAAATTCTAAAAACATTAACAACTTGAACACAAATGTAACCAATAAAAAAGAAGCTTAATTAAGCTATAATTTCTATTTAACTTTCACTTGTACATTTTAAAGTCCAATTAAGAATAATCTTACTGTTCTAGAATCTGAGAATGGATTATATTCATCAAGTCCTGGTGGAACATTTCTTGTCACCTGTGTAACTGATGGATCCTGTAATAAAATTTGAAAGAAAAAAAGATTACTTACCCTTTAAGATACATATTTTATATTTACATAACATTTTCTTTATCTATTCTTTTGGTCACCCAGCAAAGCTAACAGAGGAAAACAATAGGAGATTACCAGATGTACTCAGTCCCATTTCAGAAAAGGTGAAATTTAAACCTACGATTCTCATACCCTCAAAAATATTAGGTTAAATGCAAATCAGCCACTAGTTATTCTACAGAGATTGAAAGAAGGCAGCCTTCTAATAAGCTGCACAGAGCAACTGCACAAGAGCATCTAAATAACTGTTGAGTGAACCCATTTTCTTTCCTATGGGCTCTACAAAAGAGGTCATGCACTTTCTATAACTTCTCCAGTTTTCTCAATTCAGACTGAAGTATCATGTTTCAAAGTCATATACAGCCAGCATCTAGAGCATTCAAGATTAAGTGCCCCTCACTTGTTTTATTCTGCTCCAATTTCTCTGCTTGACTTTTCCCACATGATCCTAGAGTGTCTCTTTATTTTCCCAAGTATAATACATCAGCACACCATGCTAGCTTTTCAAATCTTGTAATATTGAACTTTCATAAAATAAGTCATAAAATCCTAGACCTTTATCTCTTTTGATTATGAATGTACAACACAAATATAATGAATATCTAAGCAAAATCAACTATGTAATTCATGTGAAAAGTGTTTTACCAACTGTGATGTGCTCTTACAGATCTTCCAAGTAAGAATCAAATAAAACACAGATTGCTGCAACACACCCCTGAGTTTCTGATTCAGTAGACCTGGTGTAGAGCCTGAAAAAAACCTGTATTTCCATCAACTGCCCAGGTAATACTGCTTCTGCTAATCTGGAAATCGCTGTTCTGTACTTACACTGTACTTTCTTCAATCCACTTCCTCAACTTAATCATCAGTTAACTTTCAAAATTTCAAACCTAATGTTGTCATTCTCCTCCTCCAATCCCTTTCCTCTGTCCACCTATGTCACATTTTTAGAGACTCTCCACTAACTCTAAAATAAAGTACATATTTCTCAACATGAAACACAAAGCTAGTCCACGCCACACCTAGTCTGCCAATCTCGTTAACTCCCTCACATCACCCCCAGTATGGCATACTTTTCCCCTGCCAAGTGAAACAAATTACTACAGAAGGAGCCTTGAACTTGGCTAAAAGCAAGTGGTAAGGATGAATGGGAAAGTACTAAATAAAAACTCTATGCCTATTCCACAATAAAATGAGAAGAAAGGAATGAAATCATTCTGTCACTCCCTGGATTTCCCCTCTCATTTCCCTAAACCTGTAAGATGCAAGGAGATTATAAAGAGGGGATGCATGCCTCAGAAAGAAAATTAACAACACTCTTTTAATCAAATTTTTTAACGTGCATTGCTAAAGTTAAGCTGATATATTAAAAGGGGGGGGGTTTCAGAGAGAAGCAGAGACCTATATCAAATCCTAATTGTCAGATGGTCCAGCTGCAGTTTTGATACCAGCCCTCACCATTACCCATGAAACTAGAAACCCAACAGCCCTCAGACACCACTATCTGCTTGCTTCTTCGAGCTGATCCTCATACTCTTACGTGAAGGTTTAATCTAGCAATCTTTCCTCTTCCTTAAACATTGACTCTAAGTATTACTTTATCCACTAAGCAATGATTTTCTCATAACCTCCCTCTTACCCAGTCACTCTACCCCAACCCCCTGGTATTTATCTCCATTAGCATTTATTTCATTGAACCATGATTTTCATGAAAGTCTGCTTTACCCAAATTAGATTCTGACTTCTCTGAATCAAGAAACAGGTCTTCTGTTTTTCTGTTCTTTAAATCATACATGCCTGGTGACACCATTTCATCACTCTTCAAGATAGTACCAGCAATAATAACCACAAAATATTTTCCAAAAAAAGGCATAAATAATGAAGACCATTCAAAACATATAAATGAAAACACATCTAATCTCATTCATTAGAAGAGAAATAGTAATTAAAACTATACTGATATAGGGCTGGAGATTTAGCTCAGTGCATAAGTGCCTGCTTGGCAAGCATAAGATCATGAATCTGATGCCCAGTACCAAAAAAAACAACTATACTGATATAATCACATCTCTTATCTATCAGATTAGTAAAACATTCACAAGTCTTACATACTCTTGAGAAAGCTAAAAGGAAACAAATTCTAATGCACTGTTAAGAGAAATGAATACTATTATGATGTGAATTTATTAATTTGCATTTATCCTTTGAAATCACAATCACACTACTCGGAATCTATTCCACAGGTATATTTCATAGATATACTGTGAAAATACACCCTGTAAAGCAAAAAACTAAAAACAACCTAAATATCAAGATGAGAAGCAACATCTACCTGACAAAGTATTGCAATCTGTTATGCAGCTGGTAAAATGGTATAAAGAAATATATACAAGGTGTAATTAAAAATAGTGAATGTACCAAAAAATCTTTAGCACAGTAAGAGATACACTGCCACTAATCCCCCTCAAAAATTTTCCCTCTTCCTTTGAATACATTTATCCCATTGTTCTTGCCACTTTCTGAAGCAGTTCTGTAAGTCCTCTTTCACGTCTTTAGTTGTGTTACAATGACTCATATCCATGTCCTGGGTTGACTGAAAAGATTTACCGTTCATGATCACTTTGACTTTAAGGAAGCGCCAAGTCACAGCTGATGGATCCAGTCGATGAGGACACACCATAAAGTTTTTAGGTGCCTGCTATTACGGCTTATGTCCTGATGTTCTTGCAAAGCCTCATGGGGTCATAGGTGGAGCTTTTCACAGGTAACTGGATATGATGTTGGGATTAAGGGTGCCCTACCATGGGTGTGGGTGGCATCAATCAATAGGCGTCAGCCTGTGCAGAATATAAAGGCAGCTTCTGCCACTTCATTGCTGATACTCACTGCTTCTCTGCTTGCTGGCTTCTGCCTGACCTGCTGGCCATGGACCATTTCTCCTCTACAATGTTCCCTGGCATGTCGCCCTGCCTTGGAGCCAGCAGACTATGAGCTAAAACCTCTACAAATGGTGAGCTGAAATAAACTAATTTAATTTTAGGTGCTCAGTATTTTGTTGATAATTAAAAAGAGAAAATCAACTAACACAACCTGCCATTCTGTTGGATATCACTGTAGTAGCATTCAGTAATTTTTTTATCACATCTATCTTGTAAAAACTCAAAGAGGAACTTTCAGAACTGCTTCAGAAAGTGGCAAGAACAATGGGACACACGTGCTTGAAGCAAGGGAGATTACTCTTAAGGAGATTAATGGTAATGTGTCTTACTGTAATAATTTTTTATTCAGACATTCACTATACTATATTTCTATCATACTTCATACACTGCTACAGAATGAAGAGATCCAGAATATTGTAAATAAGAGGTTACTTTCTAAGAGGGAAGATAATAAATCTGTATATACTTACTTATATTTTTAGAAAAAAAGAATAAGCCAAACACTAATAACAATGATTACTTGCAGGAAAGAAGAAAACAGTGAAGAGAAAGAGGATGAGCTTGAAAGTTAGACTTCTTTCAATCTCCCTGTTTGAGTGCTTTTACTCTGGAACCTCAAAATGTTTTTCAGTAATACAGAATAAAATTAATTCAAAAAGAAAAAAAAAGTAAAACATAAGGTCAGCAAGATGCAGATGCTTTAACTAACACTCATGTCTTCACACCCATCCTCTCAATGTTAGAGAAATACAATGGGCCCCTGCTCTCATTTTTCAAATTTACACAGCCATTATCTCACATAAAATTCACTTCAAATTCTTAAGAAACAAGTAAGTAATAAGGTGTGGCTTAGTATGAAAGAGATCTTAGAATGAAATCACTCTTTAAATTTTCTATTTTCATCTACTATATTCAATATGTACTTGGTTCCATCTATATAATCCAGGCTGCAGTTAACTGGTAACCTGACAAAATCATTTTTCAAGCAAACCAAACTTACTTTGAGTCCATCTGAAATCTCTTCTAGTGTAGTATGTATTAGATGACAAAGCAGTAGACTATGTATAAAATATGCCAAGAACCAGACCACATTTAGGAAGAAGAGCTAATCTCTCTGAATTGTTACCTAATTAAAATAGTTTTAAATTCATTTAATGATTTTAAATTAGTTTAACATTATAAAGAGTGCTAAAGAAGCCCTAAATCCTCTAAACTGGGAGAAACCAATAAAGTTGAAGGTTTAAAAGGAATGTTCTTTTAATATCCAAATAAATAGCTGATATTTCTTATATTATTTTCAATCTTTGCTGATATCCTTCCTAGGAGACTGCACAGTTCTATTATTCAGAGAAAAAAGTTGTAGTCTTAAGGGCAGGAAGCTTTCTCAAGGTCAGTCAGTAAATCTGAAATGAAGCATGCAATGAAGGCCATCCAAAGTCACAAGGAAATGCCACAGTATGAGATGGTGGTGCTTTGGTTCAGGCTATGAAGAGAGGGTGTCTGGGAGGCAGTGGATTCTATGTCAACAGACCTCCTGCGCAGGTACAATGTACATAACTTCTATAGCCAAGGCCCACACCAGCTGGTGTAAATAACTTACATAACCAAGGCTGTTACTGACACATGGCCACCTTGGTGTATTTTGGTATAAATACAGACTAAGTAACCAAGAATTGGTATAAGAAGAGGGACTGTAAGTGGCCAAGGACTGCTGCGAAGACTGGTCTTGTTACGGTGCCGAGGACTGCTTTGAACACACAATATAGCCCCAAGAGCACACAGTATAGCCCCAAGAGCAGCTGAATACAAGTGGACTCTGACTAAGCAGCTGAATAAAAGATGTTTAACCCAGTCCACAGCTCTGCATCTCTTCTTTGGATCTCATCACTTGGATCTCAAGTGATCCTCCCAGTATGAACTGGTGTATGAACAAATGTTGGTACACATTTTTCTACCGTATACACTAAAAAAACTTGTAGTTGGGCAGACTCACATATGCTGAGG